TCTGAAAAAAATTCCAAGTCATTTTAAGACATAAATAACCACAATTTTTCAATTAAACGTTTTTTCTACGGTATTTTGAAAATTTGGGCAGTAGGAGGTTAAATATTTGTAAGTATATTCCTTTACTCAATGGTTAGCGTGTAAATTAATGTAAACACAATGAACTCAGGAACGAGTAAAAATAAGAACTGGTTAATGGATATTAAAAGTTTCACAGTAGATATTTATATAATGTTTAGATGCAATATCCTAAAAATATTTTACATATATTCAGTACTAGATATCAACGAACATATATCCTGTAAATATCAATCCTACATTGATGATTGGAGATTGATTATAAAGACGATAAATGCTGTATGCTGATAAGTGCATAATTGTTTCATTAAGAGTAGTGAATGCTACGGTTAGCCTTATTAAAACACAGGATCTAAAGTCATCCAACAAATCAACAAACACTAATCAAACTAAAACTTAATTGTAGTTTTTATGTGGTTATTTGGTAGGATGGTCTCCGTTACCCTAATCCGTGCTACGCGTTAAAAAATAAAATCATTTTAATCAGCCCAAAGTGGACAATAAAGTGCATTAGCAATGTTTACGAGAATACTTTTTCAAAGGGAGTGTTGTGCAGTACCGAAGTTATTAACCTCCCTTGATTTTAATTTTTTTTAGTTTTCTAAAATCAAAGCTATTTATTTCCGATCAATAGCATTATTTGTAAGCAACTTTTAATGTTAACATATTATTGCCAGTTTGAAGAAACCACCTTTATCCAAACAAAGGTTTCTTATTTAAAATATTACGTAATATCTAAACGATAATCGGTACATATATCTAGCAAACATTCGGAGGAAATGTGACAAAAAACGCACAAATCTGGGGTTTTGGACGTTTGTAGTTTTACTTCCTAAGTATGAAAAGCACCGATATCGTTGTCGAAATGTAAGTAAGTAGAATCAAAAAGTGGCACATTGGAAAAGCGAGTTTAGCTACATCTGTAAGTTAAACCTCTGTTACGATCACAGCGAAATCAGAAAGATCCTCCAAGATCGCAGCAACATCCACGATCACCCACTGCAGTTGTGATTTTTTACTTTGAACTTTACACAACTAACTGTCATCGTCACCAATAGCTTACAAAAAAGGTTTTCACTCAAGGACGGCGCTTAAAGGACATCGCAAGTAAATAGTTATCGCCCGATTAGCCTCCTCCCCACACTGTCTAAATTGTTTGAAAAAAAAAAAAACATTAAGCAACGCCTAGACTCCTACGTAGATAGTGCTTCCCTAATATCTCCTCATCAGTTTGGTTTTCGCTCCCAACATTCCACAACACATCAACTTTTAAGAGTTTCTGAAGACATCATTAAAGGATTTGAAAGAAAATGTCATACTGCTGCAGTTTTTCTTGATGTAAGTCAGGCCTTTGACCGTGTTTGGCACGATGGTTTGTTGTTTAAACTAAGAAAGTTCGGAGTCCCCTCCTACCTACAGAGAATTATTGAAAGCTTCCTTGAAGATAGAACGTTTTCAGTTAATATTGATGGCTCCCTATCAACTTCCAGACCAATTCAAGCCGGAGTCCCACAGGGCGCAATTCTTTCACCTCTAGAGAGTGCTAACTTCTGAGCAAGTGACGCCAGAACCGTCTCCAGTGGAGAGCAGTAGTACATTAAACCGGACCAGCTTGACTTCTGTGCTTGGAAAGCCAGAACCGTCTCCAGTGGAGAGCAGCATCTAGGGGACCGAGGATTCCGGGGTGAAGGTGCCAAGGATCTAGACCGCGGACCCACACGGATATCTTTTAGGAGTGTCGTAGACCACCGGGCCAGTAAGGGCGCAAGCAAGACTTGATCGCCCAACCCCTGAATACGAGCCCGGAGACACTGCCTGGTAGGAGGACTACGGACCCAGGATCAAGATTGTATATACGACTACCTGTAACCCGCGGGCTTTGTCCCGTTTTACTTTTCAAGATTTAATTTTAATTTTCGTTTTAATTTTCAAGATGATCTCGTTCGCATGGCTCAATCACGTCCTGGTTGAAGTTCGTTCGCTACGCTCACTCACCTTTAGGTTAGAGCTCGTTCGCTACGCTCACTCACCTTTGGGTTGGAGCTCGTTCGCTGCGCTCACTTGCCTTCAGTTTAGCTCGTTCACTACCCTAACCCGCCTCCAGGTTGAAGTTCGTTCGCTATGCTCACTCACCTTTTGGTTGCAAATTAGCTGTTGTCGTAAAAGAAATAATAGTGCTGCACCCTGTTGGTAATCCTTGTAACTTTTAATGCTATTGAACATCATAGAACAGAACCAACTTGTTTAATTGAAACAGCTGTTAAGATTCATTAATTCCATTTCTCATAAGGTTAACATGGGAAACTCCAGAGCCACTGGGGCGGAGCCGATTGGACGGATCACGAAATTGATGGTTTATAAACTTATTCCATGAAATTCTACACGTATGTACCAAGTTTCGTGGCAATCGGTTCAGCGGTGTCTGAGTTTATCACTGCCAAACAAATATATATACAAACATCCTCTTTTATACTTATAGATTGTAAATAAAAATATATGTGTTAGGATAAGGTTAGAAAGGAATAAAATGGAAGTTTGAGATACCCAGAGTCTTTCACTTATCGACCCTTACCACCCTTGATAAGGCCTAGTGCTCTGGAGGAAACTTCCTCACAGATTAGTTAGTTTTATTTGATTAAACGAGGTTTTAAATTACTGAAATAGAAATAGCAAGAAACGAATTGTAAACAATAAAACATGACTCTACAGTACACCGGACAGAACTAACAGTAAAATTGGCTTCAGCTTTTCCACAAGGATGGGAAATCTACTAAGGTAGTATGTGTTATCTGTTATCTATGGTTACAGCCAATAATAATCTCTCAAACACCTGAATCAACTAACTTATACGATTTATCTTTTGTTATAATTCTCTTTACATTAATTATTATGTTCAGATATGAGATTTTTGCTACAATACTTTTAATGACATACTACAAGGTTATAAGCGGAACAGTATTATCGTAGAAAAAGTGGAACATTTGCAACTAATATTATTATATATAGTATATATAGGTTTTGATGTTTGGCATTATTCCTCTTTGCTTTTACTTCCCCTTAGCCTCCTGTCTTCAGTCCAGCAGTCTTTCATTTCATTCTCGTCCGATTCCGATTTGATTTGATTGTCGTCTGTTGAATGTGAATTGTGAACGTGAACGTGAACAGCTGACAACTACGAATGTCGTTGTATTTGTACTGAAAGCATTGATAAAATAAATAATAAATGTTAAATAAATAAAAGTTTGAATTAAATGCCCAGTTTATGTTCGTGTTGTGTTTGTGTTAGTTAGTTGGAATAATGTTACCAGTTGTGTTTATCTTGTCAATTTTTGCTTCAAACATGCTTAGTTCCTACATTTTAAAACCTCTTTATGCCTATGACTTATGTTAGTAGTATTAAGGTAAAGCCTTTATCTTAACTGTGTTTATTTCTAACACAATCCTTTTAAGAGTAATGTGTTGTATTGTAATTGTAAAAAAATTGTAAAAAAGCCTGTCAACTAGAAACTATTCATCTTCAGTAATTTTCATGTATTATAACAACAACAAAATTGTTTTAATGCAATCCTGAGGAGAAAATTCAAAATTGTAAATATACTGGAGGGCACATACTGTTAAGAACCGATTATGTACCATATCGTGTTCGGTACCAATAACGGGTGTAAAAAAAAATGTACATTGAGCTGTATGGGCCTTAAATTTTCTGTAGGCCTACTGCAGATCCCTACTTAAAATTGTAACAGAATCGCACCTTAAACCTGTTAACTGAATTTCATATAATACTAGCAGAGTACCCGTCCTTCGTACGGGGTTGGAATATAAGTATAAAATGCTTATTGCAGTTATACACAAGCTTTGCGTTTGCAATAAGAGAGGACACGGTTTGATAAAATTTGCTTTTTTAAATTTACAGTATTCTATAGTATTACACATCTACGATAGCCATAATGTTCTACAACTTCACATAAACAATAGAGAAAAATAAATTATCAACAATTCGCAAAATATCACAAATTATTCATGAAATGAAAAACATAAACATAACGGTAAACAATCCTACTTTGACAATTCTCATTGTGAATCACAGTTTTTTGTTGCTGCTTAGTTCAAATTATCTGTTTTCATAAGTGCAAAAAAATATAGTGCTGCACCCTGTTGGTAAATCTTATACCTTTTTAATGCTTTTCCATATCATAGAACCAACTGTTTTAGTTGAAACAGCTGACTAAACTCTTTAATTCCCTTTAAATATGAATACTCATAAAATTAACATGGGGAATTACAGAGCCACTGGGGTGGAGCCCGAAAGGATTTTTGAGATAAGAATATGCCTATAAGTTAATCGGGAATGTAAGCAATCATCATGCCAAATTTCAGCCTAATCCGTCCAGTGGTTTATGCGTGATTGAACTTCAAACACACAAACAAACACACAAACTTTCACATTTATAATATTAGTAAGATATCACAGTTTTAATAAATAATGAAAGAACTATGTCACTATGTCTAAACAACAACCTTGTTTTTACAAGACATTTTTAAAAGAAGCTTGAGGATTATCTGGTTGGAACACTTTAAGTTATTTTGTTTATTTTAGCCTACAAGGATGATCAACACTTTCTTTTTGAACCAGTGACAGGGTAGAGGCTCAAGTGACCAGTTAAGGCTCAAGTGACTTTGTGATCCAGGCAAAACCAAAAGGTTAATATGATGTATTTTATACAAACCGGCCATTCCCTGTGAGATGGTTGTTTGCGGGTGTTGCTCTATCCATCAATTTGTTTGTCTTTCTAGTTAGGGCTTACCTATATTACAAACATGCCCCATTACATTCTAGGTTTTCATGACTAACCTAACTAAGTAGTTCTGTAATTTCTCAGTCTATTAATAATTTTCTTTTTCTTATTATGAATCGATTGCAGGTGTTACAACAATCAAAAGATCAACTACAGGGAGAAGGAGAAGCAAGTGCTGGATCAGATCCTCGGCCCTACAAGCTACGATGCGAGAATACGGCCCTCAGGTGTCAACGGGACAGGTGAGCTCTATCTCACTGTACTTTTATTCACTTACTTAAAAAAAAAAAAAACTAGGTAGGCTACAGAATTTGTATTTTAATTCTTATCATGATGACGTCGGCCAGAATTTATAATAGGGTACCGGTACCTTTGTTTTAGTTGTGGAATATATTGAATGTTCATTAAACTATTGTTACATCAACAAAAAATTCAAATACAAATTTAGACAAGTTTATTTTATTATGACTTACATTAATGCTGTCAGATGGAAGTCATGTTTGTTATTTTCTCAGAGCCGGCCTTAGGTGCTGTAGGTCCCAGTACAAAATATCAGAGCGGGGCCTCTTGCTACTAAAATAGTAGTACCTACCCCAACATTACCAACCAAAAATATGTCTACATTAAATACTAGTAGGCCACCCTATTCATAATAATCGAACACCCAAAACACAAAATTGTTGCTCATATGATGATTATTTTGTTGTTGTGACAGTAAAAAGTATTTAGGCCAACATGGCAACATATATGGCATTTTTATGTCACAGGTACGTAGCCTTTAAACTGTAAACAAGTAGCTTTGAGAAATTTAAGTACCGTAGCCTATGAATATTTATTTATTTAATGAGTAAACACATTAAAACACTAGTCTCAAAAGTTGAATACATGTTAGGAAAAAGTTATAAAACACAATACAATGTACAGTTGAACCTCTATAAGACGAATTTCAAGGGGTACGGGGAAAATTTGTACTATAGAGGTATTCTTAATAAAGAGGGTCGTTTTATCGAGGTTTAATGCTGCTGTTATTCTTCTTATAGAGGTTTCTCCTCGCTCCAAGGTTTCTCCAAACAATGGCTGAGGAAGGAGGAGGAATGGGTGGGGGTTTCATGTTGAGACAAGCTTCTGTTTGTTTTGAAAACTACGTACTATGGAGGTTAAGATTATGATAAATTCGTCTTATAGAGGTCACGTTCGTTTTGTAGAGGTTTTGTGCTAAGAATATTCGGTGTATAGAGGTTAATCAGTCCTAGCCCATGTCACAAACAGATTCGTCTTATGGAGGTTTTTAACTAAATTACTACGTTGTATAGAGGTGTTTTTAGCATTGACCTATATGAAAGTGTTAAGGGGATTTAAAAAAGTTTGTCTTATCGAGGAATTTGTTTTATCGAGGTTCGTACAAACGAGGTTCGACTGTAGTACGGTATGAACATTTGTTTGCATTGTTATTCACAGAAATTTTGTGTATATCAGTTCTCAATTTAAAACTAACTTTAAAAACTGTGAACTCCATACTAGCAGAAATGTCACAACATTTCAAGCATTCGCAGCAACATCCAATAAATGATTTTTTGCGATTAAGGCAACGTTCATGACATCTCGCAGCGATCATGGCGATGTCGCTGTTGATTTCCCTCGGTTGTAGTAACATCCATGATGGTTTCCTGTCATCACGGACACATGAAGATTTTTCACAATTGCTCTAACATTCGCGATGGTTCCTTACAATCGCGGCAACATCAGCAGTATTCATCTCATCTGGTCGTAGCACCAACTTCAATAATTTTAAATGCAATTGTAGCAATTTATGTCATCATCCTCAAGATTACAGCAACAATTGTTTAATGATTTCTTACTATGGTCAATTCCCATGAGTAGGGCTACATCGTGACATTAACTGCAAATAATCACAATTTTTCATTTTACAAGACGATGCAAAAAAGTGATATATGGCAGATATTAGCAGGTTATTGGCGATTTTTCAAAATCTAAAATTTTCTAGTCCCATACACAGTCTTTATAACGCCCACAGACATTTTACATATTTGTGTTTTTTTCTAAGAGAGGCACCTAGGTGTGGTAGTCACACTCTTTGCTTGTGCCTAAGGCCGGCTCTATTCTTTCTTCTATAATAGTTTGATGTGAATATCAACCTATGATTACATTCTTTTGACTCCTAGCACCTGTGGAGGTAGCGCATCACTGAATAATGTGTTAAAATAATTTTAATGCCCAGTAACTGTATATAAAGTTTTGAAGTTTTTATTAGTTTTTGAAATATTTAACCGTCCCAGGACTTTTTTTCCACCCTGTAAACACTTTTTTTCATTAAGTAGGTATGAGGAGAGAACATGTTCTTCTCCAATTAGTGTTTAGCTATCCTTATTTGAGATTTACTGAGAACTAAGTAAAACTTTAATATCACTATTGACGAAATGACGAAATAGTTCAAGATTTGTTTTATGTGTGAATCAATAGTTTGCTTCAGCCAGGTCTAATTGAAGCTGCCGTCTGTTTTAAGAGTTACTGGTTAAGATTTAGAACATAAAACGTTTGTGTGCTCTTACAATCACAAATTTTTTTTAAATATATTCGGGCTTAAAAATTATAATAGACAAAATTACTATTCTAAAAGTAATTTTAATAAAGAAAAGCCAAATCTAGATGGTCTCTGTGATTCAAACAAACTGCATGTAGCCTACGTACATATTTGACCAAATAGTTGCTATAGGCCTATATCCTGTGGTCTTACAACAGTCCATCCATAATATATATCAGTTACATTGATAAGTTCTTACTTAAGTTTTTACCATGAGTTTATAGAAAAATTCTCTACAAACTCCTTAGTTTGTAGATAACTATTCTATAAACTCATGGCAAGGGTTTGAGTTATTTCAGGAGCCCTTCCAATCAAAATCTATGAGAATACTAAGCTTGTCACACATGTTAAATTGCCAATTTCCTGAGAGAGTTTCAGCGTGGAGCTTCAATCACGTGTTTTCATTCATAGCAGGGTTTTAATTGACTGAATTTATTTACTTCTTGAAATTTGTTATTTGACTTTGAACTAACCTAACCATATTTTATTAAAATATTCTGTAATATGTTTGGAAATATGAAAGTGAAAAGAGATGAATTACAAAAGACTATAACAATCTAAATACAGTAGTAAGACTATAGATATTTTCAGTTCCATAAATAGGATGGCTGTTAAATATTAGCTTTGTCATAAATACCTCGCTAGCTTCCTCAAATTTGTATAAAACATTATTATTTGTTTATCATGATAGACGTTGAAGGTAAATGCTGATAGTCTAAAATGCTAGTTAATTGAAGGAATAGTTCCACAGTTTTTGTTTTTATAAACATTGATTTTATGTCGCTGTAAAAATCTTACAATTTGTGGATTGAATACCTAAAATCTCCAATCTTACCAAAATCTTCAAACATGAAAAACAATGTCAAGAATATAGATGAAGAATTAAGATTGTTTCCTAGGCACATAAGTTATTATTAATAGTATATTTTATCATTAAGCGTAAAGTGAGTTTTTGACCTGAGCTCAAGTTTTATGATTGAGGCGAAGCCGAGGTTGGAAAATAAGCAAGAGTTGAAAAGACAATTTTTGCCCGTTTGATAAACTATATTTTTTTCATCCCACTAGGATGTTTCCATATGTTTCTTAAGCCAAATGGCTACTATAAATGTAATCAAAACATTTCATCGATATATGTAACAAAAAGGTCTCAACCCCAGATAAGTAGTAACTAAATTACAATACGGTCCGCAGTCTGCAGATGAGGATGCAGCCTATTTACCACGTGACTTTGAAGGAGCCAATGAGGACTGTGCGTTGTTGGCAAATCTAATAATACCAGCTGACTTGAAAATATTGCTTAGTATATTTTAATTAGTGTTGTCAACAAGCGATATGGCAACGTCACACTAGCCCAGTCTTGTGATTGGCTGACGCCAACTGGAAACTCCCGTGGTCCCGACTTTAATTTATTTTAGTTATATTTTCCATATGAATTTCAAAACATTGGTTTTTTCATTACCGGTACCTAATTTATGCTGTTGTGTTTATTTTAAAGAGTCGTGAAAAATGGTTTTTGCACCTTAGATAAATTATCTTTTGCAACCTCTTGATCATGGAAATTCTTGATTATGTCATGATCAAACATTGTTGATTTTGATCTTTCAAACTTCTTTTTTTACACTTGATTTTAAATACAGCCTATTGCAACATTTCTGCTCTAAGATATTCCAAATAGTAATGACCAAATGTAAAGACTTTTTTGTTATTATTATGGCTGAAACTGCTCAAAACCTTTCTTATAGTATACCACATTACAAAGAAGTAATAGTTGAGTGAAAATTTAAAAACGTACGTTTTCAGGAAAAGCACTTTGAAAATTTTTTTTCCCTTTTTTCAAAACTTTTATTATTCTTTTTATTTCATCAACATTTGAAGTTTCATAAAATGTCCATGGTAACGCAATATCTTTGGTAGTTTTTTTTTTTAAAGACCATCTTTATAATTCAGTTAATTTGTGTTTTTACCAGAAAAGTTTTGGGGTAGTTTTGATTTTTTCCATTTCTTATGTATTTTGGGGTGCTGAATCCGAATCTGAGGTTTGCCAACAAAAATTCTTGACGCAACGTTGACAAATATGAGAAAAATATGGAAAAAATGATATTTTTTGTAATATTTAGCTTATAACTCACAAACTATCAACTTTTTGTTATTAGTATATATTATAAAAATTAAAGTACACAAAATTTGCTACAAAATGTACCCCTAATGTGACAATCTCCGATGAACCGTTTAGGCTCCAGAGCTATTTGAAAATTGGAACATTTTGTGTTAGTTTTTAAATTTCTCCAATTATTCTGTCAATGACATATACCGTATTCATTGTATATGCCCAGGCAAAGGTCTTATATAAATCCAAAGTGTTGAAATTGATTAATTTTGTGTTACTGAACCGTTGACTTTTTATTTAGTGTACAGAAAAGTTACACGAACTGTTGCCGTTTAAATTATCCTCACTCAGAGGGTTGTAATGAGGCAGGTTCTGGCAAACGTTTCGATGCATTATTTGTGAGCATTCTAGCTTGTTCATCTGAACAATTAAAAAAAGGTTAAAAGTAAAAAATTTACACATAATAATAAGAGATACCAAAATCAAAACTATCAAAATTTAAATAACACCAATCTATTAATCATGTAATATCT